TAAGGAAATAGGTTGTACTTGCGTTTTATCCAAGTATTGGAATAACATTTGGTGCATTTACCCTAATCTGAATTTCTGTTTTTCTGGACAATGAAACCGATGATTACCTTTATTGTTGTAGTCCATTGTTGTTGAGTATTGCTTCATGTCTTTATTGAAATCTCTTGATTGATTCTTATGGTGTGATCTTGTACAAATCGTTGTACCCTTTGTTGATACTTGATTGGGCTATTGATGAGCCTCAATCCTCTTGATAATGACTATGTGTAACTATGAATGAGATTGGTGGTAATATTATTGAGCTTTGCTCACGAGATTGGTGGTAATATTGTGTTATTTAACGGTACCTTCGTGTACTGAGAGATCGGTGGTAATACTATGAGATTGGTGGGAAACGACAGTCCCACTCCCAGGCGGAATAAGGTTGGACTCAGAAGTACAGGGTGGCACTTGGAGGTAATGGTTGGAACTAGTTATAAGGTCGGGGGTAGCCATAATGTTGGAAGCGGGCATAAGGTTGGAACTTGGAACTTGAAATGTGTGTCTTGTCATTATGTGGTTGCTTTAATCCTTGCTTATGAGCATGTCTATGATGAACTCTACCTTGTGAATGGTAGGTTGCATCTAGAGTTGTAGTTGTCGGCTTGTTGTTTGTGGTCTCTATTGCTTTGATTAAAGTTGTTGGTCTTGATCTTTATTGAGAGCGTGATGTGTTGTTGATTGTTGTCTCGTCTCTTGGTTTTCAAATGCTATATACTGTATTCCTCAGTCTCAAATGGTTTCCCTATATCTATGTATATATATTGATACTTAACGCGTATTGGTGGATTACCAGTTTTATTCGTTGATCGGGTGTTATCCCTTGTCTTTACAGGTTTTGATTTGATTGAAGAGCGCGCTAGATGTGGACCGTAGTTAGTGTAGCTCTTGTTTTGCCTTAGCATGTTGTTGGCCCGTGAGCCGTAGAACTCTGACAATGATTTTAGTTGTAGCCTGTGCACCTATCTTTTGGTATAGGTGTGGCATAGTACTACCCGAATTATATTTAGCTTCCACTTTATGTTATGCTTAATGTTATGCTTAATGTTAGACTGTTTCCTTTAAATTAAGTTTAAAAATGTTGGTAAATTCGGGGGTGTTACACTTAGAGACAAGCTACAAGTTACTAGTATAACCTGTGATTGAGGGGAAGTATTATTACTCTATGTATTTGAGTCAGATTATGACTACCTATCCTAGTCTCCCTATGACTCTCTCTTGTATATATTCCCACAGCCTGTACTATTGTAATTACTGTTCATCTAATACAGTTTATACAATTCTCATCGCATATGAGGGGGGTTGCGAAAAAATTTGAGCTTTCTGTGACCCTTTGTATTGGATCGCGAAAAATCAAGAATCCACGAGCCTATTAAATAGGTATCCACGACCCTTTCGCGGTAACCTCATCTTATTCTTTTTTTTTTTTTTTTTTAAAGGCTTATGATTACTATTGGGTGTGAAGAAGGAAATAAAATATATATCTAACGTAGGAGCTGGATATTATAGCAAAAGAGAAGAAAGATATTATCTTCATTAATGACATACTTGATTACATTGATGCATATCTTTAATTATATAGGCTAAAGATCAAAGATCATGCACAAAAAGTTAAGATCGCTTCTCCACTTCTATTCATGTGCATGAGGACTAGCATAAAAATAGGAAGACAAATATGTATTATTGACTAGCGCAGCCTAAATAATAAAAGAATACTAATTTAAACTTAACATCAGAATTAAATATACTAACATCCTCCCTTAATTCTGATGTTGCAAAACTGTTCCAGAACAGCTCTTCTCCCATCGCTTCTTGTTTTACTCATTGCTGCCCAACAGAACCATCATCAACATGTCCATGTAAAGCTGCGCCTTGCTACCACATGCGTCTTGTTTTGGATCTTCCATCACCATATCTAGTATGATCACCTCCCCTCCTGATTCTTTACTTGGAATTGCCTCTTTGCACTTCTTCAGTATTTTCACGCTCTCTTCATCGTTCCAATTGTGCATAATCCCCTGCACACAATATAACCAAAGGATTTTACTCCAATTATCAAGTCAAATTAAAATACGTAACCCATTATTGCAAAATGTGAGGCAACACGCTCTCATGAGGGTTATCCAAGCAATTGTGCCATATAGAGAGAGACGCACGTGCAGACAGCAGCTCAGCAAGACAACTACGAGACACGTGTAGCGAATAGAGACCCCAGGACTATTTCCTCTAAGAAGGACCGCCTTGATTTGAAGATCCTTCACAAGAAAAAAAGAGGCGTGAAATTCAAAAACTACTTTATTATACGCAGCAAATCGTTGAACAACAACAATGACATAGAAAAACCCGGAACATGTAAAACATTTGATAATTGGAAAGACATAGAAGGAGTGGAAATCCAAGCATGACCAACACTAACAATAGGCAAACCTGAGTCGTTACCAACACGTAACGTGTCAAACCCAGTATGTCCATAAGAAGATGATAAGGTAGAGATATCCGGTGTAACATGATTTGTAGCACTCATATCGGGGAACCAAGTCTAACCGCCCAACGAGGTAAGTCATCACCACTTTGAAAAACCATATGAGCCTGAGAACTAGGATTTTTAGAGTACCAACGGTAACATGATAACGACGTATGCCCTTGACCATTACAAATCTGACATTGCAAAGTAAACGACCAAGACCTCTGCCTTCGATCGCGACCACCACGCTACTGCCATCGTCCACGTCCTCGTTGAGAAAGAGAACCAGCCCGGCCACCTCCTCTGGAGTTGTCATCACGACTCACGGCTATGGCAGTGGGCTGCATCAAACCTGCTACAACAACAAAGGCCTAAGCACATATAAACTCTTGTGCAACTAAGAAATCCAAGAGTTCCTCAAGCGTGACCGGGGCCCCCTTCGTTCTAAGTGAAGCAACCAACGGACGATACTCTAGTCGAAGAACCTGGAAGACATAAAGATTCTAATCGTCCAAGGTTACTAGTCGGCCAGCAAGAGCAAGGATTTTCACCAGTATTTGTGCACGCCCAAGAAAGTAGCGATGGACTCATCTCCCTTCCAGAGACCTTGAAGTCGTCCGAGTAAACAAAGAGTATGAGCACACGTCACTAATCCAAACGCTCGTTCGATAGACGACCAGACAGCCTTGGACGTAGCTCTCCCAACAACAAGATGTATGACGTCCTCAGAGAGAGAGAGAGAGGAGATCAGCATGAATGGATAGCCTTATCTTGTTGGATCCAAGCAGCACGAGAGAGAGAGAGAGACCGGTGTCGGAACAGTAGCAACGGTCGAGGAAGAACGACATTAATTGCGTGCACCAGAAGAGATAATTTTGTGTTGTAAGCTTGATAGAAACAAAGTGATCCGCAATGGACATAGAATTATTACCAACCACTGGGACAAAGATGGCGGTATCAGAGATAGTCTACTTGGAAGAAAACCTAGCAGGGCTATCCTGGGGTGATGGAGCCTCTATAGAAAGAGAACTAGAAGCAACTGATACGCGAACTATATTTCTGGAATATTATTCATAGTAGGAGAATACAAAATATATACACAAGTAGAGAAGTCCTATTACAAGTAAACTACATTTGTGGTATACTAGTAGAGTATTACAAATAGAGACCAATCAATGTTTCTTGAATTTTCTTTCTCCATAAAGAGTAATTGGAGTTTGTAAGTCGAATTGAAAATTTTGTACGAGCAGTTAACTGGATGATAGAGCTGGTCACAGTGACTGTAGTGGTAACTGGTGCTAGTGTTCCATTCGACATGAGGAACAAGAATAAAATGTATAGGAAAAAAAATTAATTCAGAATTTTCTGACTCTTGATACCATGTAGAGTTTTAATGAAGGGAGAGTTGATCTTTTATTCAAGGTGGAACCCAGACCACACCAATAAACATCAAATTCCGGCAACTAACAATAATCCGGGAGGTATTCTCTATTTTTTTTTAATTAAAAAATGATTCGATAAAAAACACATATAATTTTTCCCAAAAAAATTTCAGAAAAATTTATATGCATATGAATATGTATTTCGAATAATAAATCTATATACCGATAAAAGGTAAAATCCTTCTTCTCAATTCTTTTTGTCAGAATATTCTCATCTCTGTATACCAATAATTATTTTTTAATACATATACAGAATATGTATACAAAATTTCGAAAATCGTATGTAAATATCCATATCAATATATTGTAAGATTTTCCCTAATAATATATATTATATATTATATATTAGGGCCTTAATTAAGTGGTGCAAGTTGACTAGGCTTATTAAGTGGTCTGGTTGGACTTAATAACTAGTAGTTGTTAGTCAACCAAACTCTGTGCCTAATATAACCTGGATTGATGGGATACAGGATTATGGATTAGATAGCACATTCAGTTACGGTACTCAGACCGCTCAGTAGACACCAATACACCATCTAGGGTTCTGAGTCAGGTCTGAGGCAAAACATGGCTAACGGTCTACCGTTAAGAGGCAACACAACAGGAACATCAACTATGGCTGGAGATCAACACGGCTACGCTTCCGCTATCATACGAGGTCAGGTTTCTCGTATACTATGGTTTATTATAGTTAGACTATTGTATATCTAACATATATATATATATATATATATATATATATATATATATATATATATATATATATATATATATATATATATATATAAATACCACCTATGGTCCCTCGAGTTTGGTGGCATTGCCATCAATGGTCCCTAACTTCTGTAATTACCATCCGTCATCCTCCGAGTTGTGAAAAGTTACCTTCTAGCGTCCTTCCGTTACTTCCTCCCGTCTTAGCCGTCAAAATGGAGGGTAATATTGTCATTTGACTTATACGAAAAGAGTTAATACCAGCCAAGGTCCCTCGAGTTTGGTGGTTTGGCCATCTTTAGTCCCAAACTTGGCCAAACAATATTAAAGAAAGTTGATGGTTTCTCAACTTCCAACTCGAACTCCCTATTCTCCTATACAATATTAAAGAAAATTTACAAATGTATAGTATTATCCTCTTCAATTTCTCTCAACGCCATTGCCTACATATTAGCAAAATTCATATATATTCCCACAAAAAAAAAATTATGATATGATAATGAGAGAAGAAATTTAAAACTGGGAATAGTGGTATTGAGCAGCCGGATACTCTCTAATATACATCCTATGGAAATCCGTGGGAGGAAGAAGCAGAAAATGCTTTTCCCCAGTGATCACGGAGTATAGATTTTCATAATGATCTTTATGGAACGATGTCTCCGACAAATCATTCCCAATCCAGAGGTTCACGACATCAGGAAGGCATCCCAGGGCCTCAAATGCCCAGGAAAAATGGGGCTCATAGTCCGAACCGAGAGCCTCATACTCCGAACGGAAGCAATCATTCTGTTGCTGCAGGTAAGCGACGGTGGAACTGTTATCGGATTGGAGAACCTTTGACAGAGCGTCAGGGAAAGAGAGCTGCTCGACATGTGCTGAAGCGAAGCAGAGGGAAGAAGGGGAGGTAGGAAGGGAGGTAACGGAGTCAGCTCGAACGGTTGGGGTAAGGTGGAGGGAAACGGTGGAGGAGGAGAGGGCGTCGAGGAGGTACTGGGTAGAGTGCCAGAGAGTGGTGGCCGGCCAGTGGTTGATGTCGGAGGAGATAAGGCATGGCTTGTTGGGGGAAACGTAGTCGCGGAGGAAATGAAGAGGCGTAGGTGGACAAAGGAGGCGGTCGATTTGAGAGGTCGCGCCTAAACTCAAGGGACCTTGGTTTGACAACAGCATCTTGCTAAGATATCCAATTCCATCCTTAAGCACCCAAACTTGGGACTAAAGATGGCCAAACCACAAAACTCGAGGGACCTTGGCTAGTATTAACTATTTTCGTATAAGTCAAATGACAATATTACCCTCTATTTTGATGGCTGAGATGGGAGGAAGTAACGGAAAGACGCTAGAAGGTAACTTTTCACAACTCGGAGGATGATGGATGGTAATTACGGAAGTTAGGGACCATTGATGGCGATGTCACCAAACTCGAGGGACCATAGGTGGTATTTACTCATATATATATATATATATATGTGTGTGTGTGTGTGTGTGTGTGTGTGTGTGTGTGTGTGTGTGTGTGTGTGTACGTTCATACAGGCCCGGCCCTGGGCAAGGGCAGGTTGGGCCCTTGTCTAGGCCCATGCTTGGAAGGGGCCCTCCACCTTATGTTATTACCTTTAATATACATTATAGATCTTCAATATAATAATATAGTATAAATTTATATTCATGAAATGAAGGTCTGTTGAGTTGGTTAGTTTCTTGTTTTCTGTGCTCAATGTTTAGGGATTGAATCTGGAAAATGTGCCTTTATAGTATTAAAATTGTAAAATTTATTTATATTTTTAATTTGAATTTTTAAAAAAATTTAATTTCTAATTTTTTATAATTATAGTGAGATTTATACTATATATTGTTTTGTGATTTATATTAAAATTTGAATTTATTTTTATTCGAGTAATTTATTACTTATATTTAAAATATGTGTTATTTTGTGAACTTTATAATGATTTATTATATGTAATATGTTTTGTGATTTAGTTATGAAAAATATCTTAAAAGATAGTTTAGTTTTTCTATAAATTATCTAGTCAATGTAGTTTAGAAGTCATATTATGCGTCATCGTATTCGATCAAATTAATCTTTTATCCAATTAATTATGTTTCATATTTTATTATAAATATCTTTAATCATGTTTAGAGTATTTTGATTTATTGCTCCCAATAATTAAGATTTTATGCTATGCTCTTATTTGTAAGTTTTATTTTATAAACTGTTAAAAGTTACTTTATTATTTATTAAAATAATAATGTCATTTTCTATAAGCTCATTTGGTTTTAAATTATTTATTCATTTTTATAAACTATAGTTTTTATTTATTTATTTATGAAAGCACTGATGCGATTATTGATTATTTTAAATTTAGAAATGTATCTAGACTTATTTTCATGTGTATGTATAAATGTTAAAAACTTGTGGATTTTATTTCAAATTATTTGAAATTAGTATTTTTTAATTATTTAATTCAAATTTTAGTTATAAAAATATCTATTAATTTAATATAGGGCCTATTTTTGTTGCTACGTCCCGGGCCTATAAAATGATAGGACTGGACCTCCGTTCATATATTGATGATGGTTTGCTATAGTGTATATTCATGTATGATACAGAGAAAAAGCATATTTATATATCATAGCATATATACTAATATTCATAATTTACAAATACAAATTACATGTATATTTTAAAGCATCTACTCAATATCAACAGGATCTCATAATGCAAATATATAATTATTGGCCAAACGTTAATTAGAAAATAAGCATATTATTCATCGAAAATATATTTTGTGTTGATAACATGTTGTGATTATTGCCTTTAGCTCATAGCCAACCCTAAAAAAACAGATCGTATTCGTAATATAAATAAGAAAAGGAAAAAAGAATAGTAGTAATGTAGAGACAAGTGACAATCATTCCATTCATTCATCATCATTCTTACAAATAGGGGTATAACATATATATAATATCCAAATAATAATGACAATAATAATGTTAACGGTTACAATCTTTATAACTTTTATAATCTCTAATTATAATGTCCTGAATATCATTTATAACAAAAATATTATTTTGGGGATCCTGTGCATGATATAATTTGCCTTTATCCTTGAGGTTCTCTAATCTCTATCATCATCCATTAAAACCCCTAAAACCTTGTGTTATACTGTTTGTTACTCTAAAAATTAAAAAATATACAATTCACAAACACAAAATTCGCTGGATTTCAAACATTCAAAATTTATGTCGCCTTGAACTCCATCTGACGGATCATCTTGCCCTCCAGAGTTCTTGCTCGGAACATTCAGGTACTCCTTTTGGATTTCTACTCCAAGCTTTTCGTGCTAGTATATGTTGCTTAGCATAAACTTGGGAGGCAGACAGAGATGGCGGACGACTTCTTGAAGCTTCCTGAATCGTTGATTCATCATATATTGTCATTCCTTCCTTTTAAGGAAATAGGTCGTACTTGTGTTTTATCCAAGTATTGGAATGACATTTGGTGCATTTACCCTAATCTGAATTTCTGTTTGTTGGACAATGAAACCGATGAATACCTTTATCAATACTTAGATAATCAGGTAGAAAATCCAGAGCATCCTTTGTTGGATCGCGTAGAGAATTCCTTGGGTAAGTGCCTTGCTAGGAGGCGTTTCATAAAAGAAGTCTGCATAGAACTTAGAACAAGGTTAGAAGTGAAGACTTTGACACCAAAGTTAGACCGTTGGTTAGGTCTTGCTCTAGACAAGAATGTTTCAAAGCTAGTGCTGAATATTGTTAATACTCGGTGGTTGGTATTGACACCCCCTGTTACTTATTCTGTTCCTGAGCAAGTCTTTGTTGCAAGGACACTTGAGGTTTTGGATTTGTCTGGTTGTACCATAGAAGAAAATTGCTTTGTTCGTATTGAGCTCCCAAATCTAGAGAAGCTCTCTCTTTCGTTATGCAGATTTATAGGTGACAATTTGTTACAAAAGATTGTGTGTGCTTTCCCTAAGATGAAACACTTATCAATTTCTCAGTGCAAAGGTGAAGGGCGCTCTCTATCTGTTTCATGTAAATCTCAGTTAACATGTTTTTTCTTGAAAAGCAGCAACGAGTTTGAGAGGGTTGAAATTAATGTGCCGAGTCTTCATACATTTTCATTTGGATCCGAAAATGCTGCATGTGCTATTGATGTGACCGGTTGCACAAATCTGAGGGAGTTGTACTTGGACGGTGTTATTGGAATGGATTTGGAACGCTTTTGGTCTATATTTATTAGCATTCCAGTATTGAAGGTGAATGCCCGTTACTTACCAAGTATGTACAAGATTTCAAGCCAAAGTCTTAAGAGACTCATTCTCAATGGTTGGGATTATTTCCCTGGTGTGGAAATTGATGCTCCAAATTTACTGAGTTTTGAGTTTTCCCTTACTCACAACTTGAGTTCAGAATTCAACTTCTGTTTCTGGAGTATTCCAAAAGTAGATGATATTAACATGATGTTTTCAGCCTATAGTTTTCGAAAAGCATGCAGGGCAGGGCTAGAGGATTTCATCCTGAAATTACATAATTATGAGGATGCCAACTGGATTATCTTTGACCCTAATTATGGTGTAAGTTATTTCATGTTCTTACAAGGTTATCCCCTCTGCAAACTAATTTCAACTACATGTTGCAACCTCCTAGCTAGTTTGTATTATGTAGAAAATTTCTTGGTAAGTTACTTTTTTAATGGCTTCTTGTTCTCTGTGCAGGGCTTCATTATGATTGAAAAATGGCAAGCTGTCTCTTTTTCTTCTCTTAAGCGTTTTGCAGGAAAGTCAAGAAGTATAAGAATTCTTATATCCTTGAAGACTGAAACTTCCATGGTGTGTGGGCTTTTAGAATCATATTCTATAGTGAAAACTACTATATACTTCATACGCTCTTCTCCTAAGTTCGCAGAGGTATGTAGTTATTTTATGTTCTGAAATGACATTTGTAGTACAGTGCAATATTGTGTCCTGTTGATGATTTTCCTTACCGCAATTGCAGTCTTTTTATAAGAAACTTGGTAATTGCACTGCTGTAAATGACAACTATTGCTGTGAGTTGTTGGTGTCTCCAAGTAAGGTAAAGCAACTAGCGACTCCGGCCTGGGTATCATTTATGGAGTCTAACTCAAGAGGTAAGAACCACAATGCTGCAATCCTCTTGGATAAGAGGGTTCAGAGATGATGATAGAGTAGATCATTTGAGAAAGCTACTGCTAAAATCATTGCAATTAGTTGGGTTTTTGCAATCTCCCCCATTTCCTAAACTCTCCTTGTGGGTTCTATCCCTTCTATATATAGATGTTTGCCAAGGAAGAAGGGATAGGAGAGTTACCCAATTGAAGTTTGTTTTCTTTTCTTTTCTTTTCAGACGGGTTCTTGTAGGTGTTTCTTCTTCCAATTTTGCTTTTTTCATGGATGATGACAATGGTGGCAATAGTTTTTATGATGATTTGGAGTTTGCATGTAAGATGTGAATTTTTTATGTTATTAGATTTGTAAAATAGTGATGCGTGACCGAGATTATTTTAAAGTTTTAAAACTTAAATTATTTATAAATACCAATAAGATTGAGTAATAAGTTCAGAGCTTTTCATTTTTTTTTTAATATTTGAAGTTGTTTGACAATTAGATGATAGTTTGGTTAGACTATGAGGTGTCCTGAGCAGACCCTAACTATAGGAGACACCTTTAATTCTGTACCATACTCAGACTAATCTCCATTCGTATCGGGCCAATCGTTTTTCCATACGAGAGGGGGTTCCAACTCCTGATCTTTCTTAAGGGATGAGAATGCACGGCCACTCACGCCAACCAAGCTGGTTACAATTAGATGATAGTTGATTTTGTTAGTGAATAGCTAGTAACTAATTGTGTTAGTGTTGGACTGTTGGTAGTATTAGTTGTTTATAGTTGCTAATATTGATTGTTCTATTTATGTGACTAATTTGTTGAATTTGGAAGATGAAATGGCCTGGCTGGTGGAGAATAACACCACCCGCCAGTTAGGCAGAAGCAATGATGAAGAATCAAAGAATAGAAAATGTATATAAGACTGAAATATATTAGTATTATCTGTGTTTTTAACAAAGAAACATAGTACATACATATATATATATATATATATATATATATATATATATATATATATATATA